CTTTGAACAAAATAGGGTATTATGGATACTACGTCCATGAGGCAAGGTTTTCTTGGTACTATCTGTATAGTTGGACAAGATGTTTGATTAATTTGGGGGCAAAAAGTGCCCTTCCTCAGTCTCTTACAACTGGTCCAATAAAAGATATTGCCAAAGAAATCTTGCTTCTTATCTGTTACTTGGACCATCACCATAGGTGGTAGAAGGCCGGGGCTAATGGAGCTCAGCCTCACCAAATGCGGGGCAGTGGGTAGGACCACAGGGTAGCCCAGCCATAGGCTCTTGGTGGCTGCAGCAGAGGCATGCACACAGTCAGGATTGCAGCCCGGCATGTGGATCACTGGCTGCTCAGCACAGCAAGCAAGTACCACTTGATTCTGTGAAGGGGAAGGGGCTGGGGGTGCAAATTGAGGCCCCCGTGGTGAAAGAGGGAGTGGGGCAGAGGCAGGGACTGGAGTGAATGAGGCCCTGGCCTGGATGGGTGGTGGGACAATCAGAGCCCAGGCTGGTTGTCCAGGGTGCAGTGGGGCTCCTGCTACTGTGCACACGCCAGCGGAGGCCAAGGGGGCACATGCCCCCCCGATCTGTGTGGGGGGTGGAGGTGGCTGCTGCTGTGTGCTGGGCTTTATGCCCTGCTGCAGCTGCCCCAGGAGTGGCACAATGCCATATGCCTGCCACCACTGGGCTGTGCTATGCCTCCTGCCTGCCCAGCAGCAGGATGCATATGGCATCATGAGGCTCTCAAGGCAGCAGGGTGCAGAGCCCAGGACACAGCGGCAGCTGCCTCCAACCCATGCACAGATGCAGGGCACATGTGCCCCAGGCCTCTGCTAGGGTGCACACAGTGGCAGGAGCCCCTCGGCACCCCTGAATGAGCTGCCCAGGCTCCAATTGGCCCACCACCCAACCCAGTTGAGGCCCCATTCACCCCAGCCCTTTTCCCCACACCCTCCCTCATCACTGGGGCCTCCCACAGACTTATCTGCTATGGGGAGGGGGGAGGACGGGGCACACTCACGCGCATGCACACACATGTTCAGTGCCCCCAAATATCTTTTTCTACCTCTGCCTATGACCATCATGCCTACAACACCACTCCTGTCCCAAAGCACTTCTGAGTGCACTGCTGAGAAGTACACCCCTCCCTGCACACATATTAAACCCAGAAATAAGGTACTGAAACTACCCAGTATTGTTGTAAAGATGTCAGTCTCCAGTGGCATGAGAGTAGTGGTAGGGGAACACCCCAAAGGCAGTTTTACCATCTTGTTTCCTGGTCTGGCATGTGTAGGTCAGGAGTGTATAGGTGTGGGGGGGTTGCTTTTCAGTGGCACACTCAGAAATGCCATGGAAGTGGTATAGCCCACCTGACAAACATGTGAAGCTACAAGATTTCACACTAGAGCCCCAAGATTATGATCTAAGGTAATTTATGTTTTCCTCCCAGAATATTTATTCCATTGTGATAATATTTTATGAGATTTTATTTTACATTTGAATTAATTTGAATTAAAGTTGCTTATTTATAGAATAGTTTGGATGCACGTGTTACACAATGTTAGAAATGTCTCTTCACTAAATCAGGCAAAGGAAGCATTGGCTTGGAGTCAGAAGCAGCAGTCAAGAATTCAAACCCTGGCCTACAGTACTAACTCAATTGATCAAAATAAAAGGGGGGAAAAACAGTACTATTATTCCTAACTGAAGCCAGAGATAAATTGCAACTCTTCATTACTAGCTGTCTTTGGGTGCATCTGCACGTGATGCTATGTCATCATAGCAATGTGCTACAGCGACATAGCATGCGTGGGCAAAAACAGTGATGCTGCTGCTACGTCACCATAGCAATGTGCTCCCTTGGTATAGCACATTGCTATGATGATGTAGCAGCTAAAAATAACTGCACTGCTGGCATGGTGCAGTATGGGCTGTTACTGCGCCATCATTTAGTACTTCCAAAAGGAAGTACTAAATGATGGCACACTAATAATGGTGGCATAGGGGCATGTGTCGACATGTCCCTTGAGTCCCAATCAGATTGCAGAGATAAATTCTCTGAAAGTTAGAATGCAAAATCAAAGAGAATTCACATTAAACAAGCCTTGTCACATTCAGATCTCCCACTCATTTTGTGAGATTGTGATGCTTTTGTATAAACTTATGAATCCTGAGTACCTCAGAATGGCTCAGTGGTTATGGTCTCTACCTTCTCCTAGGGCTGGTGTCACCTCACTCCCAGACCAGGGACTATGGAGAGTCATAAACATAAATGGCATCCATTCAAATCAGGGAAACAGAGCAGGATCTAAAGGCACAAGTTTAGGCCTGTCAACCCAGGTGTAAATGGGAATGCACACATTTGGCTGGGGAGTCCAAGGCAACTGAATGTGATGCCAACCATGGTGCAATGTTGGGTGCAGAAAATGGGCTGCTTAACCTGATGGACCACTTAGGCTTGGGATGGACCTTCAATTTTATTTTGACAATTTTCCCAATGAAGGCAGTATGAGTGGCTTCATTTTGAAAAGAAATGGAATAGAAATGGATAGCTCTGGTCACTCAATGCTGTATCAGTTGGTCTACAAGAGTATGACTTGGCTCTTAACAAGATTAACTTCAAGTGAAAGTGTCACAAGAACTGCATAGTTAGAAATCAAGATATCACAACAATTTAAAGTAATCATGAATCAAAGGAGGAAGGATGCTCCAATGTTGCTGAACCAGGAAAAACTCGGAGTTCATCTGTTTATCTCCTGTCTCTATATGGGCACCTGCAGCTTTCCAAGAGCACAAAGGAGTCCCCATGTTCCTGCCACCTTCTGGTCTGTTCACTCCAAAAGCCCCAGGCATTGCAGCCATCCTCCTACGGACAGAATACAGATGGAATGGGCTCCCTCTAGTGCCCAATAACCCTCCACGCATCCAGCAGTGGCAGCTACAAGAAGCAACTCGACATTTTGCGTCTGTATTGCTGAGCCAGGTCAGAAGCAAAGAGCTGACCTGAGACATAGGCTCTGAAGTCCCACATGGAATCTTGTAGCACTATGACTAGGTTAGCAATGCTGTATGTGCTGTTTAGTTTCTGCTGTTAGCCATGCCAGTGAAAATCTATATTAGTTCAGCAGAGTTCACTGAAGTTATTCCAAGTTAACATCAGTGAAATTAGTGACCCAATGCAATCCTAACCCACCTATGTAATATTAAAAAAAGTTGATCCCCAACACACTGAATCATTGAATTGATCCCCATGGGACTAAGATCAGGTCCTAAGAGAATGAAATAAAATCATGTTTTCCTCTGTGTTTTGTTAAATAATTATGATTATGGACATAAACCTCTAGTAATTCTGAGAATAATTGTAACAGTGCTCACCAGATATTCCCTTTACAGTTCCTTATTCCAGGTGTATTGAGTCTATAGCATTTCTAAATGTCATCAGTTTTTTCCCCTGTTCATAACTAATTCATGAACCAGCAGTTATTCCACAAAACTTCTTCTCCATATTTATTTTTTTACAGGTTTCTTAAATGTTTAGTAACATGTTCCAGAAAAATTACTGACAAATAAGGGGAAACAATTATTTTGACATCACAATGATTTAACACATGAAGTAATTCATTAACACATGAAGTAATCCATTAAATTGTGCTTTACACCAATGAAAATCTTCAGTTCTACAAACTAGCTTTTAAAGAGCAATAAAAGTAGATATGGCCACTCACAATACAATCTTTTAGCAGCAGAGTTCATACACATTATTGCACATAAATAAAGAAGAAAAGTCCCTTAGGGATTTAAAATCTATTAATTATCCTTTCACCTTAAACACAACAATTGATGGAAAAGTCCTGGTTTTCCTTCCAGCATTAGTTTGAAATTCACATGAGAATGACAGGTTGTGAAACATGACAAGCGAATCACAAAACTACTTGAGATGGCCAAGAAGTTAAGTTTGTTATAACCCAGAGAATTGACTGCTATCCATAGAGAAAAAAAATTGCAAGAACCAAACTAGAAAAGGTATTTAAACACAATTCTAGATCTCTTTCCTGAGTACCTTGTTGCTGTCACTAGGGGAGAGTAGTTTTGAGTGCTGTCACAACAGCTCTCTTTTTCTGACTGAACAGCACAGTACTTTCCACTGTCTTAATTTGCAGAAGTTTGAGATTCAGTGGGGACTTCATTCTGATCTCATTTAGCCTGGTTAAAATCAAAAGGACTTCCAGGGATGTCAGTCACATAGCAGTGGTGGAAAACCAACACAAGGAGTTTATGAATCCATGCAGAGAGCATTTTACATCCATATAGTATTTAATGTACAACATGGACATTAATCAGAATTGCTCTGGGTGTGAGAAACAAGTCATTAACGGGGCAGAAAGAGTGCTTATAGCAAGAAGGTTAACCACTGAGAAGGTCTCCCACACTAATTGACGCCAGAGACTGAAACACTCTTAGGGAACAAATTCAGACCTGGCTTATAGCAGGTGTTACTTCTATCACTTTCAATTTGTTTAGGTTATACTCCATGGCTAGGGACAAAAGGTACACATAAACCAGTATAAGTGATCAGAAACCAGTTCAAATCTGTAACACAACAGAAGTTCAGTGCACATAAACCAAGTTCAAAGTTCAGCATGGCTGAAACCAAGTTTAAGATAAGCCTGGATGGATGTAGTATCAGAGTTAACTGGTTTAGGTTAAATTGGTTTACTGAAATTCTGTCCCCGATCCCCTCCAGATTCAAGTTAACTCTTAGTTCCCCAGCATCCCAGGATGCTTTGCACCTCTCCCACAACCTCCCCTCACAGGGTGGACAAACTAGCTTTAGCCCAAGCCATCTACTTTAGCTAAGCAGGGAGAGATGTCCTAGCACCTCCCCGCCTTGTGGCCTGGGCCACTAAAGGCACATGGCTGGATTTCTAAAATCAAAAATGAATGTCTGTTCACTTTTTTTACCAGCTTAATCTATGCAGCTTAGACTAACCTGTGAAGATTGAATTGATCCAGCCTTGGGCTTTTTGACTGTCTGTACTTAGCCCAGGTGTCACTTATCGACATTGCTTATATTACTGCTCTATTTGGCCCAATTACTTGATGACAGGAGTGGAAGAGGCTGAAATCCAGAAATGGCACCAAGCTGCCAAGTCTGAAACCAAATATAGGAATTTCCCCAAAGTTCAAACCTGACATTCTGTTTTGCCTATTACAGATACAGCACAGCTGTGAGGTTTGGCTCTGAAACAAACCTTCACAAACATCAGAGGAATTGGATCCAGTTTTCTAGATTCAATGCATTGCTAATCACCACCAAAAACATATGTCACTAAGGAGATTTTCTTGCATTTTTTTTTTACATTTTCATCACTGCCACAGGCTGTTGTAAGGAAAGGCACTGGGGCAGAGAAAAAGATACTGTATTGGTACAAAGTGGTGTGTGTGATAACGTGTGTATACACTCTGGCATGCAGGGAAGATGGGCTTGATTTTCATCTTTTGACAAAATACAGGCCACAGACAACATGTTTACTTCTTACACCAAACAAAACTGCCAAATCTCAACATATCAGCAGGATTTTTGCCTAGCATGAACCTGCATTCAAGTGTATCTGGAAATATGCTGCAAGTAGTGAATACATGATGTGAAAGAATAGCAACAACATCTACATTACAGTAAAGTGAGTAATGGAGCATCACAGTAGCAGAATGGAGGCAACAGTTTTCTTACTCCATTCAGTAATAAAAGCAGCCATGAATGTGAAGGGAGATCCAATATCTTCGCTTTTTTGTTTTTTTTAAATAGTGCTTGCCAAGTTTTGGAAATGAACACACTAGAATAAATTCTGAACTCATTTAAATCAACATAGTTACAATGAAACTCAGTGCAGTTACAGAAGTGTAAGCTTGGAGTACAGGGCTATGAATCCAGCCTGCTCCCCTGATTAGTGGCATGAATTATTTTGGAATGTCTGCTAATAATAATGCTCATGGTGAACTAACTGTGGGTTTTTCTGAAGCTGCTGACGTCACTGGGAAGGCTTTTTGATGACCTTTAGAGGCTGCCTGACTGGCTCAGTTGTTCCTGTGCAAACACCTGTATGTGCAAAGAAGGCTCAGCAAGAATGAACTTTAACTAAATCTCAGGCATTATGCCTCTTGTTAACATAAATGCCATTGCACACTAGCAGCCATCAGAGACTAGGTTTTCCCTTCTGGGAGATAACTGACTAAAAGGTTAGGTCTAATATTAATGTATGGCCAGACTTTTAAAACAAATTTTTCAGACACCCGGAGCCTTTGCTTTCATTGTCCCTGATAGAATTTGCTCCATGTCACACAGCAGGAGCAGTTTGGAAAGGGGGTGCTGGATGCACAGTAATAGGTGTTGCTGTAGGCAGCAAGCTCCCAGCATGCCTCTCCCCTCACCCGGGAGAGCAATGCTGTCAAAGTGAAACACTAGACCACTGTGGCTAGGGGAGGGGCAGGGAGGAGTTTTGTTAGGTGAAAAGAAAGAACAGCAGGGAAGAAAGGAGAAGAGCACCTACCTGCTTTCAGAGTGAAAAATAAGGGTCACTTGGCAGTAAAAGGCAGGTGGGACGAAAACTGTGTTTATCTCCTTTCTGTTCTCTCTTTTTTCCAGCCTCTCTAAACTCTTCTTTTCCCTTACCCTTCCTTCCACCCTACCTGCACATCAGCTGACACTGCTCTACTCTGCACTCAACCCAACCAAAAGCACCCTTTACCCTCCCAGCTCAGAAAGTAGGCTCCTTTCCTCCCAACACCATCATCTGCTCCAGCTCCTACCCCTCCCCCTGGCACCCTCAAAGACCACCTCTCCTAGTGGCTCCAGTTTGGCTCTGTCCTCATCTTCCTTCCTACTCCTCCATGTCTTATAAATACACCCTCCCCCATCTTTCCAAAGCAGAAAGCCCATCCTCAGATTGAGAATTATTTCTCTTTCCTACCCAGTTCCCACTACAGTGTCAGAGGGATCCACTCTTCCTTATCCTTACTTAGTTGCTGTTGGATCTGAAGAAGCAGAGAAGTAAAACACAGGCTCATGTTCCCTTGGTCCTTCTTCTCCCTGTGCTCTAGTACTATACACTGAAAAGTCAGACCTCTGACAGAAAAGCACCAGCTCTGCCTGGAGCCTAGTAGCAAAATATTGCCTGCAATGCATTAGCCACCCTACAGGGCTGTGATCTTGTGGATGTGGCCTAGCTTCTCATGATCAGCTGCCCATGTAGAGATGTAAGGAGATGAAGTGACATGGACAAAATGCTGTTGTCTTACCAAACAAAATCTTGCACTCTACAGCTAACAAGGCAATTTGGTAGTCTTTTTTCCCCCTTTAGTATTAGTTATACTCACTTTGTAGGAATTCCTGTTTTCAATATATTTTTGTATGCACTAACTGCCACTGATGTTTTGACAAGTGTTTTGTTAGTCTAAAATATCAGTGTGTCCTGAAAATAAGACAACGTTTGGAAATGTAATGACAAGTTTTCAAAAGCAGTCTCTGTGCAAAATAATTTTGGAATAACTTTTCTTTACTGTCCCCGAAACCTCACATCTGTGAACCTGGATTGAGCAGTTCGATTTTAGTAACTGGGGGATAAGCAAAAACCATTCATGAATGCAAAACTAAATTTGGAGGTGTACAGATCACTTTAAAAAATGGCCCACATAATGCTAGATTTATGCAACAAGGGAAACGTATCTCAAAAATTATTTTTGCATATGCACCATTACAAACAGCAGAAAACTCTGAACTAGACATACTCTTAGTCCCAAGAACCTAAAATATGAAGAAAGAATCAATTATTATAAATCTTTTGCTAGTCAACATTTAAAAAAACCCAGATAAAGATCTGTTGCACAGGAAAGCTATAGACTTCTAGAATATTTTCAACTCAAGCATTGGGATATATACATTTGTAAAACCGTGCACAGGAGAAGATAGCACATAAATATTAGTAACAAATTGCAAGATTTGTTCACATACCTTTTGTATCCTTTAAAAAAATCTGAGTTTGATAGATCATTGCCAATGCAGTCTTTAGAAAGAAAACCATATTGGTTCTTGTCACTCAATATAAATGAACCTTTTTATAGACAATGCTTCTAGAGCAGATTTGGAAAATGTCAGATTCATACTTAAAACTTTTTCTCCTGTTCTCTTTCCCTTTTTTTAATCTTTCCCTTTATCCTGTTCATAAATTTCACCTTTTGTGAAAGTTAAAGCAGATATCATAACCTTTAGTCAGATAATCTAAGCAAAGCCTGGTCTGCAGAAATTCTTAGTTACAGCAACTGTCCCATTCCTCTGCCAAGCTTTCAGAATGAAGGTTGCCTACTAGCAGATTTGGTAATATGCACCAACATCTGCTAGAATTAGGTCGAAACTAGCTAACTCATTTCTCTTCTAAAACACTAGTGATTATAGCCTTTCGCATGAGAAAAATGAGCGCATTAAACCCGTGTGCCACTTAGTGCTTAATGTAATTAAAATCACTTGGATGAATTACTTTCTTTTCTTATTGAAAACACAGCTTGTAAATGTTTCAAGAGCAACATGGTTTTCTCTGTTTCGCTTATTGCAAAGCTGCATAATACAGTTACAATGGATCATATGACACAGACCAGCTTCAACAGTGTAGTAAGACTCAAATTTTTTCTTTAATTTTTTATTCACATTTTCACAAATTTCAGTAGCTCAAATTGTGTAGAGTACATCTGTTAAAGCAAAGGAAAGAGCTACCTTGTCAAGCTATTCTCAGAGCTTATGGTCTTGTAGGAAGTTTATTTTGAATAGGGATCTATACTAGTGCCATTTAGTAACATTAATTAATGTGCACTGAGGAAGAATAATGTTCTTCTAGCTGACAGAAAATTAGAAATACAAAGAAGGCCTACGGTTAGACTTGGTTTTATTTACCAAACAATAGTCATTTCTTGTCTAATCTGTGAGTTACCAAAGTTGTAGAGTTACACAATGTTTCCAATCTGTTTCTTTTGGCTGAGACTGAAGAGTTTCACCATCTTGCCACCTGACTATTGTAATCTTCTGTAACAGTGATTTCTTCTGCAGTTTCTTCTTTTGACCACTGGTGAGCCCTTTGCTCCCGCAGCAGCCTCCGCTCCTCTCGCCTTTTTTGCCGGTTCTTCTGGTGTTCCTCTTGCTTGGAGTACTGAAAGCGTTGAAGAAATAGGTCCTTAGCATATTCATAAAGCTGCATGTCCAAAAAATTCAGATCCTCTATACGTTTCCGTACCCCCTCATCGATATCTACATTTGAGGCTCGTGTAACATTGAACTGGGTGAATGGGGAAATGAACTGCAGGTTGAATGTCCTCTCAAAGAGATACTGAGTTTTCCTCTGAAACTCTGTGAGTCCAAAGAAGGCCATGTTTTTCAGGTTGTTCTTGGCGCTTTGTAATAGGATCATATTCCTTTCACTTTCGTTCATAAAAGTCAAATTGTAACATCCAACTAGGCTGAGATCTGCCAGCATGCGCACCTGGCGGTTGTTGGCTAAGTTATAACTACAGTCCATGAATTCCTGTAAACTGACTCCAGACCAGTCATCTCCTTCATAACAGGTAGGCAGCTCGTCTGGTGTGGGGCTTCTTCCATCACACATATGAAGGGAAGTTTTCCATGTTGCACCTCTCTGGACATGTTTCCATTCACTCAAGTACCGTGACACTGGATCCCTCAACATTGTGATGTAATAGAAGTTCCTGAAACAACATTTTAAAATAAGCTTTAGGATTCATTAGTACTTATTTTATATGCTTACCAGCCAATGTCATTCTTTTAGCTTTTGAAAGTGAAACATGACCAAATAATATATTCCTTTCAAATATGACACTTGGATGATAAAATTAATTGCAGCTTACAATAGTCAGAATACTTCCAAGAACGTGGACTGAAGCAATATTTTTACCCAACTCTTTCATCTAAATGTCTTTTATCAGTATAGTTTCTTTAGTTCTTACAAGTTCTACTTGGGGAAAAAAAAAAAAAAAAATCAATAACTACCTCTTCCTTAAGTCCCAGTGAATAGTATAGCAAAACAGAGAACACATCTTAAAAATGATTAATACTGTAAATAATTGGTAGGCAGGTTGGGATTGAAAGAGATACCACAAAAAATAAGCAGTGAATATATAAGAGGGATACTTCTTTGGATTTAATTATAAAGTTTCCTCAAATGACCACCTGTTCAGCCATCTTTAATTTACACGGGACTTCACAAATCCACACTACTGTTAATAAACCAGTATTAGCACTATCAGAATCAACAGGAAATATATTCACACCATTTGAAAGACAAAACAGGGAGCTGGTGAAACAGCTACTATGTGTTTTGGAAATGTATTGGGATGAAGATTACATAGCAAAAAGATCTGCATTCTTTCACCATTCTTTGGGACATAATGAATCTAATTTAATGAGAAAATAAAATCCTGCTACCTCTCTTCTTGCCTGAGACATTCGTACAATTCAATAATCTTTATAATACTTGGTCAGAATATATGAGTAGTGTACACCAACCAGTTGCTCCAACTGCTGTCAATAATGTCACATGGAAGAGTTGGGTAAGCTGTTGATTTGAAAAAATATATCATTAAATGTTTCTGACTGAGGATAATGACCGAACTGAAACCCATTTATATGATTTGATTTGAGACAAAATCTAGATTAAAACTAATTACAAATCACAAAGATTAAAAGGATGTGTTGTTGAATGCGAAAATTAACATTATTCAGATGTTACCTATCTGAAACATGAGAGAGGCCAAAAATCCATACACAGTAAAAGCTGCACTATCCGGCATCTTACAAGCCAACATGCTCCACTAACCAGCATGCCAGTTTGTAAGATAAAGTGAAACAGGAAGTGCCCACCGTGGCGCTTCCAGTTTCTCCGAGCCCACATGGCCGGGGGCAAAGCAGCCTGCGCTGCCAAGCCACCATGATCCGGGGGCATAACAGGTTGCGCAGGGCTGTGCAGGGGCCGCCTCCCTGTCCCATGGAGCCCGCAGGGCCCATGGGATAGACGGTGATGTGACGGGAGGGGCAGTGATGCCATGGGAGGGGCAGAGGGATGCCCCAGATGCGGCAGGAGAAGTGGAAGCCGGGGCCACTCAATTAACCAGAATATTTTGTTATTCGCCATTCCCCATTCCCAGGGGATGCCGAATAACAGAGCTTTTACTGTATTTTGAAATAGAATAAATAACTGCAGACCTCATATTGACAGTTTGTCTTTTAGTTGATGTATGGAAGTTTTTGGCAATCTGAAATAGGTTAAAATTGAGTATACTCAGAACAGTCTCTCATGGCCTGAATTTGTAATTGAAAAAAAGATGTTATTCAAGAAAAATCTAAATGTTAGGATTGTATTCTAGGGGCACAACTAAAACTTATGATTTTTGTCAGCTGGAATAGCAAAAGAAAAAAGCCCAGGACTGAAATTAACCCAGATGGCATGGTATAAAAATAGAGGTTTGCATGACTCATTCAACAGTGAACAATACGTAGATAAATTATGAGTCTGCAACCTATGATCTGTTGATTGTATCCTAAGATTTCTTCAGACAGTTATGATCTCAAGATGCTTCTTACTGACCCTGGCTGACACTCAGAAAAATGAGCAATACTGATAACACGATGCACTGAAAACAAGCTAACACTGCACTGAAAACAAGTTGTTAGGAAATCACATTGCAGTTGAATGAAAAATCTGACTATTGCTGGGTACAATGGTATTCCTATCCAGATCAAAATAAGTCACACATTTTCTGAACACTGAAGAATCCTTTGTGCTTTTTTTCAGATACTTCAGCTATCAATTGAGACACATGTTCTCAAATCTTGCTAAAAATTTCAGGTATTCCTCCCCCCTCCCCAGTTAGTGACTTCCATCCTCAAGATCTGTAATATCTGTTCCAGAATGAGGTTCCAGGGTCAAAAGTGCTGGCTGCTCACTGCTACAACATCTCTTCTCTAAGTACTATCTTCTAACAGGTTCTATGTTGTATGATTTCACAGTAGAGTGCCTACAAATTTTCTGGAATAAAGAGAAATGTATGTTGGGTAGTGTTCCAAGGTGTACTTTGACTACATGTTGTTCGAGTTTAGGAAGGACTGTATTTTACAAATATTTTGTTCTTTTGTGCTGGGTTGTCTATTTGCCAGATCCACTATATCCAGTTGTGGTCCAGTCATGCTTTTCTAGCTTTTTACCCATCCCATTGTCTCTGAGCATTACACAACCATCCATAAATGGAAATTCCCCAAATCATCTCTTAGAGTTCCTATAAACTTAGGAGTAGTAGAAATGATTCCCCTTGATCTGCCACTATACTCCACTGCATAGGCCAGTGATTTCCCCAAAAAGCAAACTGAGCAATGATTTTCCATACCACACAAAATGTTCTTCTCCACCTTGACTTTGCCTTACATTCCTGAGAGAAGATTAAGATGTGTTCTCAGGCAAAACAGGAGAAGAGGTGTATATTCTACAAGTGGTATGCAGTCAAGCAGCCAAGGAACTTCAGATCCTTCTCAAACACTCAACAGCTTTGTGCATAAGAAATTTGTACTAAAGGTTTTGAACCTAAGATAAGCATTTGCACCTTCAACATTTCTAAGCCAATGCACTGGCAAGAATATTTCAGAAAACAGCTCCAGGCAGTCAAGGTGCACAACAGTCCTACATTATGCTTTAAACTAAGTACAATGGGGAGGCAGGAGATGGAGCGAGTCTAGAACCTACACACCGCAAGACATGCAGCAGCACACCCCCAGGCAGGCAACAAAGGGCCCAAGGGGCCCTTTGGGCATCAGAACAGGCAGGCAACAAAGGCACAATTCGGAGGGCTCAAGTGCCTCTATACTAATGCTAGGAGCATAAGGAACAATCAGGAAGAATTCACACTTCTGCTTGCAGGTAATAATTTTGATTTAGTGGGGCTAACAGAAACCTGGTGGGACCCTACCCATGACTGGGTGGTACACACTGAGGGCTACAAGTTGTATAGAAGAGACAGAGTAGGGAGGAAAGGGGGTGGGGATGCTCTCTGTGTAAAGGAGCATTATACATCTACCCTAATTAGAATGGGATCAGAGGAGGAGAAAGTTGAGGCATTGTGGGTTAGGATACATGGAGGTCGAGGGGAAAGGGACTTGGTGGTGGGGGTCTGCTACAGACCACAACACCAAGAGGACAAGCTGGACTTGGAATTCTTGAGGCAGCTCTCAGAGGCTGTACAGTCTAGGGATGTGGTTGTCATGGGGGACCTAAACTACCCTGACATCTGCTGGGAGGAACAGTCAGCCAAATCTAATTATTCGCATAGGTTCTTAACCTGCATGCAGGACCTTCACTTAACACAGGAGGTATACAGTCCTACTAGGGGAAATGCCTTACTGGACTTGGTGTTGGCTACGGGGGAGGACCTAGTAGGAGAGTTGCAGATTGGTGGTCACCTTAGGGACAGTGACCACCAATGAACTGAATTCACCATCCGGTGTAGGATAAGATAACTAGTACGGTGGAAGTGCTTGACTTTAGGAAGGCTAACTTCAGTGTGCTCAGGAGTGTAGTCAATGGCACACTGCAGGATAGGAGTATTGGTGAGATGGGAATCCAAGAAGGGTGGCCATTCTTAAAGCAGGCTATCCTTCAGGAGCAGAGGGAGACGATCCCGGTATGAGGGAAAAGGGGGAAAGGATCCAAAAAACTTCCCTAGCTAAACAGAGAAATCCAGGGGAGCCTAAGGGCAAAAAAGAAGACATATAGGCAGTGGAAGCAGGGGGAAGCTACCAAGGAGTATACCTACTTGGCCCACGCTTGCAAGGAGGCAGTTAGAAAGGCCAAAGCAACTACAGAGCTGAGGCTGGCAACACAAATTGAAGAAAACAAAAAGGCTTTTTTTTTTT